CAGCGAAACCAAAAAAAAAGCCTGGCCTGGCCTCCATAGGAAAAAAAAAAAAAAAAAAAAACGCGTCCGGCCTCCGCAGCAAAACAACGCGCCCCCTGTTGGGCATTTCCACGCAAATCTGGCTGCCCCGCGCCGTGGCTAACATACCACAGAAGATTTCTACAGATGCTCTGAGGTGAGCTACTCAGCAAACATCGCAGTCGTTGCCAGGCACCCAACACCTGGTGCTTCACAACCTGGTGCTTCCTGCGCCAACATGTGTTAAGCTATAGTCAAAACTCTTATGGGCAGAGAAGCTTACAACCAAACTGAGTCACAACCAGTGCTGAAGTCCAACCCTTGACTTCAGTGGAAACTCCCCCCAAATCTCCTCCCATACTCTCAACAACAGAAAGCAAAGCCTCTCGCCCCCAAGTCTGCCATAGGCCCTCGGCCGCTGATACGGCCTGAGCCTGAAGCGGTTCGAGTTTCGAATGAGATGGCATGAAGACACCCTTAAGAAATGCCTGCGAAGCATCAGATGTGAATTTGAATCAGAAAAAAGGGATTTCGTGAAGCATTATTGGCCCTCTTCGCAGTGACACCGTGTGATGGATGAAACGTCGCGTGGTCGGACTCTCTTGGAGGAGCTTCGCAAAATCAAAGAACTTGAAACAAGAAACTAAGTTTCATCTTGGTACTTTCTTACAGGCCCGTAGCTTCTGTTCCCGTGCTCAGCTGAGCCCTGCTTCTCCGACTCAGGGCAGCAAGAGCATAGAGGAGGACATGAACCGGAGTCTTGCTCATGAAAGCTGGTATAAAAAGATTACCCAAAGAAGTTGGAAGCCTCGTACTTGGTAAAGTTGGGACGGGATCAGAATCAGCGAATGCCCGTCAGGGTAGTATCTTGCACCATGAACCATTAGACAATGATTGGAAAATCTACTATGGGTACGTCCTTGAGGGCTGTCAGTTGGGTACTACGGTTCCAACTCGTGAGCCTTTGTAGGAAAGGTAACAGGAAAGCCTTGTATTGGCCCCCTAGCGTTTCTAGATCAAGGTCCCCTCTTGCGTCCCACTCAAGAACCAGCCCCATGTGTTCAGGGACACAGGCCAGAGGATAGCATTTCGCAAAACACACATCTTCGCCCTAATGCTTCCCTAAACCCCAAACCCCAAATTTGACCACGGCTTCCAACCTTGCATCATGACATCCTTGATCTGAACGCCCAGCTGGGCGAGTGTCAGCCCTGGTGACCATCCCTCAGGGTTCGCAGCTTATCCATTCTTGGGTGGGCCGCTGTTAGCATTTCCGACGGTTGAGGGCCAGGGCTTGGTAGTGCCATTTTCTCAGCATCAAAATACCCGTTCCGTGCAGGGAAAGGTTGGACCGTTTGAGGATTTTATGCGCTGCTCTTTGCACCATCAGACCACTGAACGGCTGTGACAAGCAGGCGTCTTCCTGCTCCCTCTCTCTCTCTCTCTCGCTCCCTCCCTTCGTTCTATGGGTTCGCAGAGGATACACCACCTAGAATTCAGACCCACAAGCCTGCAATGCATGAGATATCACCCGGCCGCACCTGACGCGTCAGGACCTCCATGCACAGAGCCCCATAAGAATGAACGCGAAAGGCACCTGCAACTCAGACGCAGGTTCAAGAAAGGCCAGAGGCAAGACAGAATCGCAAGTGCCTGCTACTTGATGAAGTGTGCTTTTCAAAGCTCTGCCGAATTGAAATTCCCAAAGGGCTGCAGCTGCCCTCAACCCCCTGTGCCTGACTCAAAGCAGGGCTTCAGGACACGAACTTTCGGTGGAGATGTCGGGAAGGCGTCCGGAATCCAGATTTCCAGATCTACCTTGTGGCTCGGAAAGACCCTTGCTTTCTTTGCTCTTCAAGGGCAGGCTAGCAAGGAGCTCTCGCGTAACCTCAGAAATTGAAGGCCTTCTTAGGAAGAGGAAAAAAAAAACCATCTGGGACACCACAGAGCCTGTCATCCGATCCAGATTCCCATATAATATGTCATCAAAATTATGCTCCCTTTTTGGGAAAACCAGGCCCCTGTTTTCAGGCTCTCCGGAAAAGAGGCAATGATTTCGCACACCTGAAGTATATGTTTTGCCACTGTTCTAGATCTTATGTATGCCTATACAACCCTCATAGATCCCTTTTTAACCCATACCAATCCCTATCTAACCCTTGCAAACTCCTAGGTACCCCCCCGCCCCCTCAGCATCTTAAATACACCAGGCCACTGCATCAATTGTCCAGCTCTGAAGCTGGCGTCCGAGCTCTGTGCTAGGATCCAATCCTCAAGGGGGTAATGCTTTTCTGGTGATTAAACCCAGTAAGATTATATTCCTTATATAAAATACTATACCCCAAAAGGAGGATATAATCTCACTCTACAATGGGTACCATAGTATCCCCAAATAAAATACTACTCAAGGGGCTTCGTCACAGATGGGATGTGTGACATCCATGGTTTAGGGTTTTGTGTTGGGGGCTTAGGGTTTCGAGTGAACTTAGTAGCAAAATGGGAACTCGAAAAGGGAACCATAAAGTTGATAACCTTCCTTCCCTATGGGGCCAGTTTAGGATTGGGGACTAGGCTGTATTGCTTTGGGGAGCAGGGCCTTGAAAGCAAGCCGTTGGTAATCTTTGACGAATAATAAAGACCCTCATGGATGAGTTTTATTTAGATCAACCGTCTGGGTCCTGAGTAGATACTGCATCAAGAATCCCGCCAAGAAACAATTTAAGACTATCTGCGATTGAAACTGTCACTCTAAAGCAGTCCACAGACATGAGGATCCTCTTGGAGTTGTAGGGTCCGGTTGCATTGAGGTATCTTTAAAAAGAGATTTAGGAGGAAGTCTGATCTTTGGACTTCCAGCCTCGTGCGAGCAGGCGCAAAGACCAAATCCGCAGATCGCTCCCCGCTGGGTCGCAGAGAGAAAGCTCCAACCTTTCATTTCAGTACCCTTCAGGTCGTATTAATGGGTTGCCAGGGATTAGAGTCTGCCTCGTTGATCTAGACGACCTGCAGAAGTTGTGATGACTTTTACCACAGACGCTGCACTGCTTGGCCATGTGCCGTAGCATTACGCACTTCTCAATTGCTGTCCTGAACTATCCGCAACTGGACGATCCCGATGCCAAAACCTCAAATCCACTGCCATATGACTTTTCAGGTCAACTCTCAGAAGCCATGCGCCAAGAAGTCCACAAGGCCCTAAATAATCCTTGAGATCTACAGGACATACCCCCTCAAGGAACTTTTGCCCGCGCATTATTTGCCAGTTTTGAAGCCATGGCACCCGTGCTCGCGCACAAGCTCGTCTTTACGCACCTCCATCTGCTGCAGCTCGCGAGACAGCCTCTTCAAGGACTCAAACAACTTGGAAAACGTGTTTTGGTGTTCAAGTGTCGAAGAAGCACAAAAGTGCTTAATGAATAGTCCTTCTTCAGATGGTGTCGTCGCGTTGCACAAGCACCTAGGAAACCTCCGTATAGCAGGCCTCCTCAGGCATCTCGCGGGCAATCCTCTCCAGGCTACGCTCACACAAACGGACCCCCGCTTCCATCTGATGATAATAGCTCAATTACTGTAAGCTCCAAAATATATACCCTCTAAGTGCTGTGTGCAACTAGATCAAGAGCACTGATAGGGCAGCGGGCATTCAGAGGAAGAGAAGGGGTTGCAACGTCTGTTCAGCTGAGCTGGCATCTCCTTGCAGTAGGCTGTCTCAAGTGTATCGTGTGGAGCCAGGAGATCATATGTATGAGCCCAAACAAAACAGGAGAGTCTGCAGCCGCAGGGATGCATCAAGATCACGACAACTAAGTCCGCACAGTAAACCTGTACATTCCAACGCAGACCAGCTTGGGGTGCAAAGTAGCTGGAAACTTATGGTCCATAGAAAAACAGAATGATATGCTGCAGTCCTGGTCCTTCACCATTGGTTGCCGAAGACGGCGTCACCTGATGTAGACATTTATGACATTTATAGAAGGTACCGGGGTCACATGGGGTTTAAGGCCTAGGGATGAAGGACATGAAGCTTAGTGCAAAATCAGCTTGGTAAGAGAATGCAACATAGTACATTGGGGTTATATTGCAAAAACTACTATGGTATAATCACCACCACCACCGTTTAGGGCTTAGGGTTTAGGTTACCTCTGTAACTGTGCATTGCACACTCTCGTCGGCCCAGAGCAGTACAAGGGCAACCGAAGCTAAACAAATGGTGACGTCGTAGAACTGCTTTGGAATCTGAAAGTCTTGACAGTGATGACACACTTTTCAATTTCATTGTCCATGTTTTCAATTGATTCTCCACTATTAGGCAACATATCATAATCCCCAAACCCTATATAAACCCGCCGTAACGCAGGGAACTCCCCGCTTGGAACATTGGCTAGAACATTGCCGTCTTCAGCTACAGCTGTCAGCCACCTAGTTGGAAATCCGTTAGGAGAGTTATGAATACCTTGCACAGAAGATTTCACACAGGTAAGGGCAAGAGGAGGATTTCAGGACATCTAACTGTCACCCCAAGCCATTAACTGGTTGCTGCTAAGGAACTTAAATTAAGTGGCCATAGTATGGGTATATAGTAAATAAAAGGGTTTCCCGATTATAGTAACTTGAAAGGTAATTAACAGCAACCCAGTTAAGCCCTTTCTGATCCTGCCTGGGGAGTTGGCGAAATTGAAGGTTCCTGCGGAGTGGCAGCTGGATTGGCCTGGCACGGGGTGGTCTGGTATCCTTTACCTATCATCATAGAACATTTGCCTACCCCCTTACGATAAACATTCCTAATATGACCGGATCGTTTGCAAAGGACAATTGATTGCACATGCAGTGGAGAACCCGGACTACAACCTGAAGTTGGATGACCATAACTCGACGTGGGGATTTCAACAAATTGCATTGTCTAAACTCTTAAGAGCCCATATAACAAGCATGAGACTGGTAATTTTCGGGGACCTGCGTTTGGGACCCGGTGTACGTGTTGCCCGTGCAACACAGGGAAGTGCAACGGGCCCCTGTGAATGTTCTCCTGCACAGCTGCTGTCCCTGTACATCAGAAAAGACAACCTGGAAGCCCATGGTACAAATAGCGTCATCTTGACAATTCTTCGAAAGGACAGGCGCAACAGAGCGGAAAAACACGATGAAGGCCGGTTGCTAGACAAGACTCCCTTCAGCAACAGGACTGCGCAGGTGGTTTCTGAAAGGTGAGCAGTACTATCCGTCTAGGTATCTAGTTATGGAATACTCTATATATATATATACGTGTGTATACAGCACACTACGTATCCGTATATGACCCTGTGTATCACCATAAGTGCTTTGCTATACCAGGCTTCAGGGTTTGGGGGTTAATGTGTAAGCCTGGGAAATCACATGGGTGGTTGTCAAAATCATGGCTATTTTTTGGATCCCTATTGTGATACGGCACCTAATATTTAGGGTACCCAAAAAGGGACCATAATTTTGACAACCACCCACATGTAAAAGCATTTGGAAAACGTAATGGGGAACTTGGGGCTTATCGGGATGTATGTTTTGTATACACATTCATATATACGTTTTGGGGGCTTTGCATGCTGGTTACTAGTAGGGAAAGAGGAGAGCACAATAATTCTGGGGCGGATACAGGAGCTACTAAGGCAATAAACCAGCAAGTTTTGCGGTTTAGAGTTTAATTTGAGCTCACCTACCCTTAACTCTGAACCCCAAACCCTGTTGCACTTCTAACCTGCCCACCCGGGCCTTTTGTTCTTGTGCCTCCTTCGAAGCATCTTTGACCTTTTCTGGTCAAAGCGTTCTCTGAACGCTGGATGGTCATGTGATAACTTCTTGGACCACCGTGATATGGAACTGGGATCCTGTCCAAGAACAGCCGTCCTAGGATCAAACATGTGAGCTTTATACACATCTCCTTCACTGAGACAAACTCAAAGTTCTTACCCGTCTCCCAACCTCCGAGTGTTTCATGACCCTGGCGACGGTGAGCATGGTTTGTTGGTAAAGCCTGGATGCTACATTCGAAGTTTAAAGACTCTAAATTTTATGTAGTCCCTGGTCAGGTGCCTACTTATCTCGCTTCAGCTTGCTACTCCAGAGGGTCCTGCGCAAATCGAGGTCGCCCTGCGTTTTCCTTATTTGTCCTCAGAAAATCCCCGATCATCCCTTCAAGAAGAACCCCGAAGTTCCAGAAAGACCCAACTTGAAGGATCATAATAACCCAGCACATCCCGCTTAGGGTTTGGGGTTTAATGTTTCGGGTCTAGGGCCTAGCCTCAACATATTTACTGAGTCCCCTGACCCTCTAAGAAGCAAACCTCCTCAGGCGCATCCTCCGTCATGTCCAGCCGAAGCAAGTCTCGCACCTCTCTGGACCATTTTGAGAACAGATGCTTTAAGGCTATGGGTCTGTTAGAAATGCATACGCGCGATGTCAGGGGTTCTGATGTGGTCTGGGGAGGCTTTTGACCAAGTTGTTGGTCTTGCTTCTGCCCTACATAGAGTTTGAAGCCATTCTGCGTTCCAGGGTTTTGGGTTGAGGGTTCACTAGAGTTTCAGACTTCGTGTTGAAGCTCTAGAGATTGGGGCTTACTTCAAGGCCTTCGGGCTAGGGGTAGGATTTTCGAGCTCGAGCTGAGGGTTCACATCTCGAGCGTCGAGTGAATTAAAGATTCACTCATGTTACAGGAATACCGCCTCTATGTACTCTTAGACTAGTCGTGCCCCTAAAGAACTGAAACCAAAGAGAAAAAAGCACTGGCAGAAACTCATGTTTCGCAGACATAAGCAAGGTTCCTGCAAGGTTCCTAGTGGACAGGCCACCACTCGGTCCAAACACCAGCACTACTGCGGAGGCCCGGTGTTTCCAGAGTTGCGTGCGGATTTGGGAGGAACCATGCTGGTTTTCCCGCAGCTCTCCGATCTTGGTCTGAATACTCCAGATCCAGATCGCCATTTGCCTAGTAAGGTTCCTGAAGGTACGATGACCCAAATGGAATTCAAATCAGGAGTTCCAAGCCGCCCTCCCTGAAGGCCGGCCATCACTACCACTAGTGCCTAAAGTGAACGCCAAACAGTAAGCAGATGCTTGCTTTCTGGCCTTGATTGGCCCATGAGTTGCCTTAGCCTGCATCTCACTCATAGGTGAAAGTAGGGAGCTACGTGCCAGCTTCCATAAACTGCTATGCAAATCCCAGCTTCAACGGGCCTCCTGCCGGCAGAGTGGGCAGCGATTGCGGCCAGGCGTTAGGCGCAAGTGCATCGCGCAGGCGTGGCAGACGCAGAAGTGGCTGCACGGGAGCCTTTGGTTGTTAGTGCTGCTTCCACGGTTCTTACACTCCGCAACACAGAAAAATGCCCAGCAACCCTTGAGATCGTGAGAATGCTGAAGAGTAGAAGATCACAGTACTCTAGCATCATTCTCTTGGTTGTCCTTCGTTCTCCCTTTCATGGCTCTATCAAAGACAGGATGAGTCACCATGTTGTGGCCAGCTGTTACCTTTCTTCTTGTTGATCATGGACTATCAAACAAATGCCTCGTATGGTCAGCACCGTCATGTTCCCACGTTCACGTTCTACTCGTAGATGTCTCCAGTACAACGGGCCCACATCAATCGAAGCATGAACAGACACGCGTGTGATCAGACCACTTGAGTGAGTTAAAGAGGGTTACGGAAGCTTTTGCCTTCCCTACTATCGTCATTGAATATGCCATGATGCGGGTTATGGTTTTTTGCTATGAAGATCCTGACCGGCCTTGTTGCAACAATAATGATGACTTTCCCCATCGCCATTTAGGGCTTTCTACAAACAGGATGCCCTAATATAGACTTCTGCGAAGTATAACCTTATTAGCACGGGGACGTCCAAAGAAGGCTTGGAATATCTCTCTACAAGCTGCAGGGCCGTGTTCCTCGCCTCTGTCAAGCACACGACACCTCAATGCATATCCATGTGCAAGGCGCGATGAGCTGAAGACGTATCGGATAAGACATTGCACGGCTTCACGACTGGTGACATGCTGTAAGGATAGGCGCTCGATCAACTCATATGGCAGAACTGGTGCAAACTCACTCTTACACAGTTGCGCAGGTGCTGTCATCCTATCAAGAACATAAGAAGATGCATCCTTCGCCAAGGCTCAGTTCTTGTTGGACTGCTCGTCGTCTTGGGCGGGACGATGGACTTCCTGCATCATCTGGGCCACTCTACCCTTCCTACCAAGCACTGACTCCTATATCGTGCTGTCATCAAATCAAACGGAGCGCATCTCTAGCTCTCTAGATCAGGCTGCAGCCCCATGGCCCACACCACAACAGCCCCCACACCTTCCCCCTAAACCCTAAACCCTAAAGAACCTCTCAAGTTCACCGTCTAGTCCTGGATGCCAAAGAGATCCTTCATCTCGAAGGCCGCCCCTTCACCTCCCCATGCTATGACCTGCTTCTCCACGCTGAGCCCTCAGCTCTCCGCAGATTTCGTACCCCTCCCCCCCGCAAAAGATGGAAGCCCAAAGGAAGCAGACAAAGACTACGATCCTCTCCAGGAGGTTCTTAGCGGCTTTCATGCTCCTTTGGGGGGAGGTACCAAGTTTGTCTCTCACAAAAACGGGTCAAGTACCTGGACTCATGGGACTCACTTCCCAAGTACTCCTGGTAGTGTCCTCATTTCGAAACCATGTTCTCACCGCAGCCAAGGGTCCCTGCAACTTCAGCTGACAAAAGACCATGACCTCGCTAGCTCAGATCTGACACGCGGACTCCAATGGTTCGATCGCATAGGCACGACTAAATCTGAAGCACACATTGGGGGTTTTAATTAGGGGTCCTCACATGCCAGCAAAATCACCGGTCCTCTCACCAGGTCCCAAAGACTAGCAACTACATGATTCTGGTCGTGAAATATTTTCACATGTACCTTCTTGCCCTTCTTCCCTTTGTGGAGACAGAGTGCTGTGTAAACGTGAGAGCTTCCTAGCTATCCATAGCAGAAAGCAAGTCTGGACCAAGGTCATTAGCTCCATGATCTGCATGAAGCTGTCCATGATTCCTTCCTCTGACTTTCCACGGAAGAACACTTAAACCCTAAACCCTGCACAAACGATTGGACCATGATGGGGAAAATGGCCGCATAATGACGACCGAGCCCCATGAGATCCCTCTCCATCCCCTTTACAATAATTTGCAAAATGAGGGGTACCTCTTCTGAGGTTGCTTCCCATGATAAGGATTATAACGTTTTTGGGTCTATACTGGGGTTTGCCTGTTAGGGAACGTGCCGTGTATATATATATATATACAAATACATATACACATATTCATTTGTCTGCTCATATGGTTATATCCTATACCCTCCTGTCCAACTACTGCCGGAAGCAGAGCGCCCAGCAGTGCCATCCGGAGGATCCAGTATTGCGGATCCCGTACAAACGCCGGGCCGCAGCACGGCTACCCTTGGAGAAAAGGATGCATGTTCACAACACTGATTCGGGATTCAGCCCAAAAGCCCTAAAAAAAACGTCTGTATATGTAGGTAGGTATATCACCATACACCCATAACGGTTCTTGTGGAGGTACGAGTTTTAGGCTTCGGGATCGGGAGTCCCTTCTTGAAGTGACACAAAGACCTTGCAACCTTAAAGGCACATTCATCGCAAACCACAGACTCTAAATTCGTGATTCCAAACTCTACAGCCAACTCCTGAAATCCAAAAAAAAACACAATAAACTTCCGCTTACACCTTAAACTTAACCTTCAAATGGTCTTCAAATCCAAAAGTAACAACTCAAAGCTCTTCGCCCTAAACTCCAATCCTGAAAAGAAAAAACATAAGCTATGAAGCCAGGTGTCAGAGGCCAGGTCTCCGAACCTCTGCCTTACTGGGGTAAGGGAATATAGGGTTTAGGGTTTAGGGGGTGGATATCATCCCTACATAGGGTTGGATATCATCCCTTTACAACTCCTATACAGGGTTTGGGGTTGGATATCATCCCTATATAATCCCTGTGTAATATATCCCCCATTCCCTACAACCAATTGAACTACAACCCCCTTATGTTTTATGAATTATCATTATAATAAAATATTTTTTAAGTCAAAATAAATCAAATTGCCTACTACTAGCCCTCAGCAAGCTGCTTGGCCGGCAGTTCTCAAAGTGGAGCTTGTTGAGGCCAGCCACCTTCAGCCAGATGTCCCACAATAATCACGCTACAAGTCTTGAGCCACTGGTGGTCTCAGAAAATATTGTATCCTACATAATCCCAGTTTCCATTGACTTTTCCCTTTTCTTTTCAATTTGATTCTCCATTATTGGGGTTGGTTGCTAATAAATATCACCATAATTTACTTCACTTATCCTTCTCCGTGCCTCTTTTCTGAAGATCTGGCCCCCTTCTAAGGCAGGCCAGCCAGTGCCCGAGCGCGCCGTCACTGAAGTATGCAGCTCTACGATTCCGGGTCCAGTTGCACGAAGAGAGACGACTACCTGTGACAGCAGTCAGCAGATATCATTGATGGGCGCATAATGCAAAATCCCAAGAAAGGTACCGTGAAAGAAGTGACAATCTGAAAAGGAGTACTGTCAGAGTTATAGACTCCAGTGGGATGTCAGTGATACAAAAATGACATGTATGTATGTATGTATGCATGCATGCATGTATGTATGTATGTATTTACGTACAAGACAAATTCTGAGTATGCAGGGCACAGTGGGGCTAGGAGACAAAATCCAAGTTGATACCAATTTTCCGAATTGGGCAAGAAACATCATAGTTTGTGATTTAAAGTCTTTTGGTCAACACGCTGACCCCGTGCATCGAATAGACAATCCGCGCCCTAAACCCTAAACCCTAAACCCACACTCCCATCCTTGTGCGGGAATACCATGATAAAGCACGTAAGTGCTGGCCAGAATGTAACAAAAGATCCATATGTTCAACCAATCAGAACCACAACATGATAGCCGCGAAGAGCTCTGATGCTGATCTGCATAAAATACATTATATTATAGTCCGAGTCCGAACTCTAATATGTACAAAAATGATATCGATATGGAGTTACTATATGACCATAATGACAACAACAATATTATGAAGAAATGTATAGGTATGTGAACCTAGTTGTCCGCATAATGCAAAGGACGGGACCAACGAATTCTACCAACCTTTCGAGTGTGCTTTGACGGCCAAGCTGCTGAGCCATTCTCCAAAGCAATGCTCTCGAGAACGAGGGAAGGTCGGACAGCCACAGCCTCATCCAAATTGTAGCGAATTAGGGTTTATAGGGTTAGGGTTTAGGGTGAACATCCTAAGACTGATCATACCTACAATCATAATGATAAGAAGCATAATAAAAATACTAGTAGTGATGATAAGAACCATCCGCGTTGGAAAGCCAACACTGCTACTCCTGCACCTGGTTTTCAGATGCCTAAGCATTTGGAAGCATGGCGTCCTACCCACATACCAGCTTTGCTTAGGTTCACAGTCAATTCGTCATAGGCAAGCTTACATACGGATTTTGCAGGACCCACAGAATGGTGCAAGCATGAATTTTCAAAATGCTCATCCTTATGAGCAAAGGAATCGTGCGTCTAGGACTTCGCGCTTGCATTGCAGCCATCAATTAGTGTAGCATGCTTATGCACAACTCCGGAGCAAAAGGATCTGGACTGCGAAGCGCTTTTGCCGAACCCCTCGATATGAACGAAAACCAGGACACTGGTGTGGCTGCATAGGGGTAATATAGGGGATCTATAAGGATTATATAGAAAAGAAAAAGGAAACTACTACTATGATAGGGTTTATATTGAAGTTATATAGGGATAATGGAAACTTCTATTTAGGCTATAGGGTTTCATGCGCAGGCTTCAATAGGAGCCCCGGTGATAGCAAGTTTGAGCTTAATAGGAAAACACCTGAGCTCCTTCTTCTCTTTCATACACAAACTCCGCATTTGAGAGACCTGAATGTGAGCCCAGCACTGTTGCGACTAAACCCTAAACCTAAACCCTAAACCCTCAGGATCCCGCCTGCTTGGTAGTGCCCAGAGTCACAGGTATGTCCGTGCGCCCGGTCTCCTGCGGAGGCAGAGTTGCAACTGAAATGGGACCTTCTCGCATAGCATAGAGTAGCAGGCTGTACTCATCTTACCTTATGACGAAGCAAAAATGACCTAGCCATAGGTCTTGAGGTCTCAGAACACCTTCACCCGGAAGGTGCTTGCATTCCAAAGCTTTTAAGCATAATTTACTGGAAATAAGGCCGCCTGTTTTGGCCTCTTTGCAATACAACCTTCCGCAAAAAGGGAGCCAGCTTGACATATTTTTGAGAAATGTCCAATAGCCATCCTCTAAACCATGTTCACACAGCCTGGAAATGTTTAACAAGGAATCAATGAAGCAGCCCTTCCCGCTCCTGTGAGCTCACGGAAGGGGCCTGGCAATGAGCCAGTCAAAATCCAGCTTCCCTCCCCTAAGAAAGAAAAGGAACTTGAAAAGTCAGCAAAGCATCCTGTCCTTTCACCAGGCATTTATTTACATCACAGCGAGTCAAAAAGGAATGCAACACAACAGAATGAGCATTGGTATCATTACCATTTGTTGCGTGTTTTCGGTATTGCTTCGATTTCGAGCTGCGGCTTCAAGAGAGCGTCACATCTGCCGTTTGTAAAGGCTGAGAACTTGAAATCTAGGGTTTAGGCGTGTTTGGCGGGTCCATAAAATCGTGGTCCCCTCTTTGCGGGTTCCTAGAACAAAAGCTATAATGTATTAGGGTATATAGGGGGGAGTTCAGAACAGCTCCGACACAAATGCTTGCCTTCGGAAGTCAAGTCTTGATCGTGATATTTAAATCCGCGCTTGGAAAGACAAGCTTCAAGACATTAATCCCGCATGCCTTATAGTTTAGGAGGAACCCCACCCTTTACTTGTGGCATAATAGGAACATAAGAGGACCCTAATGTAATCCTTATTATATTTTATAGTTACTATTACTGGGTGGAGGGTCGACCCAGTCGACCAATATAACCCCATAGGTATATACATATGAGTATGTATGTATGTGTGTGTATGTAGGTATGTATGTATGTACGTACGTACGTATGTATGTCTGTATGTATTTATGTATGTATGTATGTATGTAGGTAGGTAGGTAGGTAGGTATATATGTATGTATGCATGCATGCAAGGCTTAGGGTTTAGGATTTAGAGCTTAAGGCTTTTCAACGGAAAAGACACTGAAATTACTGTACTATAACACGGTATACATTGGGATTCTGTAGGGGATATGTATATATATATATATAGAGGTATGTGTGCGTGCATGTATAGAGGGGCTTTATACTGTAAAAGCGGATGGAAACTACTGCATGATTACATTCAAGTGGGATATAGCCGTCGTTTG